TTGTGCATGCTTTGCGAAGTTCTCATGTTGTGTTTTTCAGCTCCATCAATTCACTTATATTCCTCTCTATGTTGTCCATTCTCATTAGCATTTCATCAAATCTTTTTCCAAGGTTCTTAGTTTCTTTGCATTGGGTTAGAACATGTTCTTTTAGCTCACAGAAGGTTCCTATTACCCATCTTCTGAAGTCTGATTCTGTCATTTCATCACACTCATTTTCCATGCAGCCTTGTTCCCTTTCTGGTGAGGAGTTGTGATCCCTTGTAGGAGGAGAGGTGTTCTGGTTTCAGGTGTTTTCATCCTTTTTGCGCTGGTTTTTTCCCGTCTTTATGGATTTATCCACCTGTTGTCTTTGTAGTTGCTGACTTTCAGATTGGGTCTCTGAGTGAACTTCCAGTTTGTGGATGAAGTTATTTCTGTTTCTTAGTTTTCCTTCTAACAGTCTGGCCCCTCTGCTGTAGGACTGCTGAGGTCCACTCCAGGCCCTGCTTGCCTGGGGATCACCTGCAGCAGCTGCAGAACAGTAAGTGTTGCTACCAGTTTCTTCTTCTGCTATCTTTGTCCCAGAAGGATGCTAGCCAAATGTCAGTCTGTTTGCTCCTTTATGAGGTGACTCTTTGGATATACGGGGGTCAGGGAGCTGCTTGAGGAGACAGTCTGTCCTTTATGGGAGCTCAAGTGCTGAGCTGTGAGCTCCGTTGTTCATTCAGAGCTGCTGGACAGGTACGTGTAGGTCTGCTGCAGCAGAACTCATAAACCGCTTTTTGTTCCCAGGTGCTCTGTCCCGGGGAGTTAGGGCTTTATTTATGAATTTCCGTTGTGCTGCTGCCTTTTTTTTTTTTTTTTTTTAGGGCTGCCCTGCCTAGCAAAGAGGCAGCCTAGTCACTGTCTGCCTGCAGAGGCTTTGCTGAGCTGCTGTGGGCTCCGCCAAGCTGCTGTGTGAACTTCCCTGCAGTCTTGTTTATATGGGTGTAGTTAGAACTGCCTTGGCAATGGTGGCCTACCTGTGTAATGGTGGACTCTCTCTGTAGTGGCAGGTTGCCTCAGCAATGGCGGGCTGCCTCAGCGATTGCGAACTGCCTCCGTAGTGGTGGACTGCCTCAGTAATGGTGGACGCCCCTCCCCCACAGAGCTGGACTGTCCCCAGTTCAGCTGTGCTTGCTATGAAACTCTCAACCCAGAGCGTTTTCAGTTACTGGTTTTTTTTTGTCGGTGTGGGACCAGCTGAGCCTGATCACCTGGCTCCCTGACTCAGAGTCTTTTTTTTTTTTCAGTTGAACGGTCGACTCTCTCCCAGGTGTTCCAGTCGCCTGTTGAAAAGGCGCCACGATCTATGTGATTTCCCGTGAGGCAACTCACTGCGCCGGCTCAAACAACCGTGCTGAGATTCCTGGCTGTTTTTTTGCCCAAGAATCTCCTGGCCTGGCTCCCTGTTTCAGTCCCCTTTTAAATCAGATGAATGGGTGATCTGCCTTCCCAGGGCTCCAATCGCCAGCTAAGAGGGCACCCAGACCAGTGTATTTTGTACGGAGAACTGCCACACCAGGGCACCGGCAAAACAGCCGCGCGGGCCAAAACAGTTGCACCAGTCAAAACAGCCACACTGGCGACCCATGGGGCTCCTCCGCCTGGGAATCTCCCGTTCTGTGGGTAATAAAAATCCGTTTGGAAATGTGGCGTCCACTCACCCTCTGTGCTTTCACTGGGAGCTGCAATCCTGAGCTGTTCCTATGGCCATCTTTCTCGCCTAGTTAATTTTTATGGGGTTTCACCATGTTGGCCAGGCTGGTCTCGAACTCCTGAGCTCAGGCAATCCACTTGCCTCGGCCTCCTGAAGTTCTGGAATTACAGACGTGAGCCACTGTGCACGACCTTGAATTTGTTTTTAACCTGATTAAGGATAGCCGTGAAAAACCTATATCAAAATTCACATTCAGTGGTGAAACTTTAGCAGTATTCTCTCTAAAGTAGTATTCCAGTTATTATTAATAAGGTTTGTATTAGAAAGTTAGCCAGTGCATAACACACACACAAAAGTTAAAAGCATTAAGGATTAGAGAGGTGTTTTTTAAAAAACTGTCATTATTCACAGGTGATATGATTCTTCATAGAAATCCTAAAAGAATATGGAAGCTTATTAATTAAATTAATATTAATAAGGTGAATAAATGATAAATTTTAAGCAGATTTGCTGGATATAGGACTAACAAATACAATTAATTAAATGCGATATGTCAGCAACAAAAAAGATAGCACTTACAACAACAAAAAGTAAAAAGCATTTAGAGGCAAATCTAAATTTGTGTAACCTTTAAGGAGAAAAATATAAAAATGTTTAAGGATCATTAAAGAAGACATAAAGAAATGGAGACAAGAGACCAGACTATGGATAGAAAGGCTCAGTTTCTTAAGGATGCAATCTCCCCAGTTAATCTGTAAAATTAATGCAATTCCAATAACAAATCTGGCAGGGATTTTTCTGTCTTCAAAAAGCTGATCCTGAAATTTACATAAAATTGACAAGGCATGGTGGTGCACACCTGTAATTCCAGCACTCCAGGACGCTGAGGCAGGCAGATCACCTGAGGTCAGCAGTTTGAGACCAGCCTGGCCAACGTGATGAAACCTCATCTGTACTAAAAATACAAAAATTAGCCAGGTATAGTGGCAGGTGCCTGTAATCCCAGCTTCTTGGGAGGCTGAGGCAGGAGAATTGCTTGAACCTGGGAGACGGAGATTGCAATGAGCCGAGATCGCATCACTGCACTCCAGCCTGAGTGACAGAGCGAAACTCCATCTCCAAGAAAAAAATAAAAATAAAAACAATAGACTATATATAAAAAAGTGAAAAGTCAATGTGATAAGTCAGTGTGGGAAAAGATATTTATAACACATATAACAGGCAAAGCATTAGGATTCAAAATGTATAAAGGATGTCTTCCAGATCAATAAGAAAAAGACAAAACAGTCCAGCAGAAAATTTGGCAAAAGATTAGAAACAGGCAATTCATAATTTAAACATATAAAAAGTCCAACTTTAGTAGTAATTAATAAAATGAAAATTTAAAAATAGAATACTATTTCATATTAGTCAGATTGACAAAAATTAAGAAATCTGATAGAGTATTAGCAAGAATGTAGAAAAAGAGGAACATTGCTGATATGAAAGTAGATTGTTTCAGCAACTTCAGAAAACAATTTGCCAATATATAGTGAAATTAAGATGTTCATATCTTACAACACAGTAATTCCACTTGTAGGTATATATCTGAGAGATACTTCAGACATGTGTACAATAAAACATACATGAATCGTTTTGAGATCTCTCAAAAATGTAAATTAGTTCAGATCACTTCCTTGCTCAAAATCCTTCAAGGCTGAGATTAAAATTCAAAGTCCTCACCAGGCCTACAAGGCTTACCAGTTTGCTTCTCTACCTACCTTTCTGGCTCTGCTCTCCCTCTTTCTGTTCTAGCCATGATGAGTTTGCTGTTTCTTGAACAGCCTCTTTTTCACCCTAGGGCTCTTGGACTCACCATTCCTTCACTTCTTCAGTGTTCCCTAGTTTTTATTTTGGCTTGATTTCTGGCTTCATCGAGACCTCTGTTGACCACCTTTTCCTTCCCTCCCTCCCTCCCTTCCTGCCTGCCTGGTTCCTTCTTCCCTCCCTCCCTCCCTCACCTCATCTCCCTCCCTCCCTCCCTCCCGTCATCTATCTTCCTTCTTTCCTTCCTTCCTTCCTTTCTTCCTGTACATATTAAATGTACATATTTGGGGTACATGTGATAATTTGATACAGTCATGTAATCAAATGAGGATAATTGCCTTAAATATTTATCTTTTTTTCATTCTAGGAACATTTGAATTATTCTCTTCTAGTTATCTTGAAATGCACAATAGATTGGTGTTAACTATAGTCACCCCACTAATCTATCAAACATCAGGTCTCATTTCTTCTAAGTATGTTTTTGTAGCCATTAACAAACCTCTCTTCATCCCCTGCCCTTCCTGGCCTCTGGTAACCATGAATCTACTCTCTATCTTCATGAGATACACCTTTGTAGCTCCCACATATGATGAGAACATGTGATATTTGTTCTTCTGTGTTTGGTTGCTTCCATCTTTTCTAAAATAGCTGCCAGGACTGCCTCTTCTCCCCCAACCCTGCTAGTCCCTTTATCTCCTTTGGCTGGTTTATTTTCCTTCCTGCCTGACATTATATTCTACATACATTGTTCCAGCATTTATTTCTGTCTCTCCTACTAGACTGTGAGCCTGCCGGGGGCTGAACATTTTCTGTCTTACTCATTGTTGCATTTCCCAGTGTATAAAATTATGCTTGCTTGACACAGGGTGGGTGCTCAATCATAGCTCTTCCAATGAATGAATGAATTGATTTGCATAGTAGTCAAGATATGTTAATTTTGATGGGAAGGAAACACTTAGATGACACAAAGAGTACTTCTTGGTAAAGATAAAGCCATTAGAGTTATAGATGCTTGCAAAGAATTCGAAGAAGATTGGTTCATAAAGTGTAAAAGAATATTCTTTAGAAACAGTTTGAATATGTAGAACTAAGTTAATAGATTAAACATAAGTAGATATCTGAGTATTTCATCTATATTCCTAAAAGTTTGTATATTCAGGTTGATCAGAAAATTCTTGGGACTGTCCCTTGGGAAACCTTATATTCAGGTTGTCTGACATGTTGAGTTGCAGTACGCTGGAGCCTGTACAGTCATTCTGTCTGCCAGGCAGTCATTCCCAAGTACCCAGGGTCAGACCCAGCCCCAGGCATAGGGCCAGGGGGTAGCAAGGGCATAGAAGGGGAAGGGAGTCAGGCACACTGAGCGTCTGCTGTGTGCCAGGAACTCTGCCTGGGTTTCTCTCTCACGAGGGTGACTTAGGAGCACCCCTTCCTGGGCTCAGGCAAGGAGCAGGCCAGGACTCCAGGGCTGTTCAGCTCACTCTGACTTCTCCAGTCCTCATTGCCCCTGCAGTTATCGGAGTTCTTCTTTGTGTCCATCTGCACCTCTGAGTTGGCCATGAAGATCTACGTGGACTCCACTGGATACTGGAAGGATGGCTACAACATACTGGATGTGGTCATCTTCATCATTATGTTTCTCCCCTATATCTTCCGCAAGCTCCTGGGCAAACAGTTCATTTACCTGCACATCGCTGATGGCATACAGTCCCTGCGCATCCTCAAGCTTATCAGCTATAGCCGGGGCATCCGGGTGAGTGCGCTGGGGGTGCCGTGGTGCTGGGAGGGCAGGCTGTAGGCCCATCTGCCACCAAGACCCTGAGGAAATTTTGACTCTACTGCTATCTTCCAGTTATTGAGTCCAACATATGTGGCAGGTTGATCTTTACCAGCATTATCTCAATCTTAAAATAATTCTAAGAAAGGTATTCTTAGCTCCATTTACAGACGAAGAAATTGAGGCCCAAGGTCACCCAGCAGTGAAATGTCAGAGCTGAGATTTGAAAGGTGTGTCTGACTCCAGAGGCCGTCTGAACTTTTCCTTTCTCTCATGCTGCAAAGTGCAAAGATTTTCTTAAGTGACGCATCCTTTGATCTACATGCCCAGGAAGCCTTGGCTTTTTGGTGGTCGAGGCTACTAGCTGCTTTCCCCAAACAGCTGCGAGTCTGCTGCTGTCTTGCTGGGAATAGTCTCTGTGCTTCGTTAGGGTGGCTCCAGAAGGGCTACTCCTGCTGAGAAGTCTTCCTGGGTTGCTGAAAACCATGGTGTGACCAACACTCCCTTGACCCAGAAGGCTTCAGAATGAACCTCAGGGCTGCCCCCCTACCCTGATCCGTGCCCCAGGCACTTGTCCTGCACATAGTAGGTTTGCTTGGCTCTGCCCTAGGGGGAACTGGGCAGCTGTCTCCTAGGACTGATTTCTGCAGATTTCTGGACTGCACATGAAGAAAGCCTGCCTGGATTGCGCTTAAAGAACTTGGCCAAGGCCAGCTATCATGGGTCCTATATGGGGCTTCCAGGAGAGCATGGCTGTTCCTCTACTGCTGCTCTCAAGGTCGCTCAGCTTAGGCCTCAGGTGGCACCAGCTTGTGGGGTGGCCTGGAGGTGGGAGCCCAGCCAGGCCTCTCTGCAACCCTTCTGCACAGCCTTTGGGTTCTACTACCCTGTGTTCCTCCCTTCCCACTCAAAATGCAATCTGCAGACCACATCTTATCACAGCTTTTCTCATGAGGATTTACTGCTTTCATCTTAGTTGTCCTTGGGAAAGAAATCCTGCCTCCGTTTAGCGGGGAGGAAGGCTTAAAAAAAAAAATCTCAGCTCTTTTGCAATTAATCAAAAAATGTGAATTTTCTCTTCTCAAGGAGAGATGGAAGGCATCTGGCGTGCATTCATCCCTGCAGGCAGCGCCAGACTGTTCCGCATGCAGGGCAGCCCAGGGCCCTTGGACCGTCCCTGTTTCCCAGGTTACCCCAAACTGTCTAAATGGTACTGCCTTGTTTCCTAGCTCTAAGGACCTCCTTTCCTAGTACTAAACCAGTGAACAGTCTCTGTGCTCAGGGTCATTAGTGGCTGAAGGTGGTGGCATGGGGCAAAGGCCTTGAGAGTTGGTCCCAGCTCTGTCATTTTATCGGAGTGTGACCGTGGCCAAGACAGTTTGCTTCTGTGAGCCTCTGACCACTCGTTTTGAAATGGGAAGAATGATAACGCCTTCCTGCCTTGAGGTTATGTCTGTGAAATGTCTGAGTAGATGAACATCCATTGAGTGTCTACTGCATGCAAGACTCCAGAGCAGGAAGGCTGAATGATAAGGTGCTCCCTAGAAATGGGCAATGTAGTGGGGAGATAAGACAAATGCCCATTTCAACATGGGGCAGGACTGAGGTTACAAGACAGGGACCTACTTGTGAAGGCGGGGCTGACAATGACCAGGGACCCACGTTCCTCTCGGCCCTCTCTATTCTCACTCCCAGGGTGTTTCCCCTATTCCTCCTGGGCCTGGAGCAGAGAGCATTCAGGGCTGGCCGTCAGCTGAGAAGCATGAGCAGGATGCCCTGAGATGACCACACAGCCAGGTTGGGGTTCAAGTGGTGTGGTCACCTCAGACCTGAGAGAAGTGACTGAGGGTGTCACATGTTGGTAAAGCACTGTTAGATTGATCCAGCTCTCAATCTGGGCACAGTTCTGATTCACTTCATTAATTCATTAGTTCATTCATTCAGCCAACCAACTAACTGGCATGGCACCAGTTGCTGGGGACAGCTGTGAACTGGGCAGAATGGACCTCTGTCCCTGGAGCCTGCCCAGCCCGGCACCCTCACCTGCCACAGTGTCCCTGCCTTGCAGACGATGATCACTGCCGTGGGGCAGACAGTCTACACCGTGGCCTCGGTGCTCCTCCTGCTCTTCCTCCTCATGTACATCTTCGGTGTCTTGGGCTTCTGCCTATTTGGATCTCCAGACACGGGTGACTATGATAACTGGGGGAACCTGGCCGTGGCTTTCTTCACCCTCTTCAGCTTGGCCACGGTACTGTGTTTGGGAACAGTGGTGAGGACAGGGGCCTTGGGAAGGGATGGCCTGGGTGGTGTGAACGTGTGGACATGTGGGGCCTCACACGGGGCTTGCTTCGTGTCCAGGTGCTCTGCTGGGCCCAGGGAAGCTGAGGTATGTTCCCCATCACAGGCCAGCCCATCACATGGGCTCTGTCACTGTCTCTAGGCCTACGACTCCTTAGAGTGCTTCCACATGTCTCACAGGGTGATCAAACTTTTCAGAGTTCTCAAATGATAATTCATTTGGGTTAAGTTTAATTTATAAATGAAACCCATGTCACGTAGCCTTTTGAGGAACAGGTTGTCACAAATCCACCTAAAAGGAGCATGCAAAACCCAAATCTAGAACTCTAGATTTGAGTTTTGGACTCTGGAAAGAGTGGGGTCTTTTTAAAGGTGGGACTGGCAGAGAGGCAGTGAGTATCTTTCTGGGAAGGTTGGGAGGCCTAGAGAAAAGAGACCCTGAGGCATGTTGGTCAGTGGTATCCCCACCCAGGGGTGCTCTGTATTCCCAGGCCATCATGTATGTGCTGGAGCCAGTGGACTGGGAGGTGCTGAGGGACTGTCATGGAAGCAGAGCCACCCTCCTCCTCAGTGGGGCTGGGACTCCCCGAGCATAGGTGAAGGTGAAGAGGAGGCCTGTGCCGCTGGGCCCGGGGCCCTCAGCATACCCTGCCTTGCCTGAGCAGGTTGACGGCTGGACAGACCTGCAGAAGCAGTTGGACAATCGGTCTTTTGCTTTGAGCCGGGCATTCACCATAGTCTTCATCTTGCTCGCCGCTTTCATCTTCCTCAACATGTTCGTGGGTGTGATGATCATGCACACAGAGGTGAGGCCATGGCTGTGAGGATCAGCAGTCAGGGCAGGTGTGGCAGCTGGAGCTATGGGGCAGGTCTCCAGGGAGGACCTGGAGCTGTGTCTTTCCAGTGAAGTGGAGTAGAGGTGGCTGGATGGGCCTGTCCCTCACCCGGCCCAACCCTCCTCCCTGAGCCAGTGCATTTGCCTTGCTTGCTGCTGGTGGTCAGTAGGACGGTGGGGCTGAGGAAGCCTCTGCAGCTGCAGTTGGCAGCTTGAGTGGGGGCTAGTCCTGTGTGGGAGAAGTGCTCCTGCTGAGGACCTGAGCAGCAGTGCAAGGCTGCAGAAGAGGAAAGACTGGGTGTGGGCATGCAGCGAGAGCCCACAGTTGACCTCCATCTTCTGACTCTAGGACTCCATCAAAAAGTTTGAGCGAGAGCTGATGTTGGAGCGAAAGATGACAATCATGGAAGAGAAGCAGGTGATTCTGCAGCGGCAGCAGGAGGAGGTCAGCAGGCTGATGCACATGCAGGTGAGTGGCCCTCACAGGCAGGTGGACAGATGGGTGGACGGATCGTCAGGCTCATAGGATGACCAGGAGGAGGGGCTGTGAGGCCTGGGTAGAGAGCAGGTGGCCTCAGGCACCTGCGGCCTTAGGTAGGATAGCCGCCTTCCTCCCATATTTTATAGAATCAGCCTTGACTGTCGGCACTTCTGTGTTTCTCTGCACCTTTCGGAGTGTTGAGTGCTGTGATTATAATGTCTCCCGCTGTTGTGGGCAGAACTCCACTGCTGGGCCCTTTGGGGCCAGGCAGTGTGTGCTGAAGCTTCTTCCTGAGAGCTCATGGGTGCCAGGCAGCCATGGCCCCAGGCCACTGAGTGGACAAGGATGTGGAGGCCCTGATAGGGTGCCAAACAACCTTGGTTTTGTCACATCAGGCTGGAGATTGTCTGTCAAGCATGATGCAACCATGAGGGAGCAGGGTAAATTTTCCCTCTGAGCCTGAGTGCTCTGAGCCTCCCATGCTAAGCCTCGGGTGCTCTGCTGGGCCTTTCTCCCTTGGTGGGTGCATCCCTCCTTGGCCTCTTCTCTGGGGTGGAGACATGTGCCTGTCTTCACTCTGCCCAGGGTTTGTCCACGGCTGGGAGAGGCTGCACTGAGCCTCACTTGGACTTCATGTGCTGCCTATCCTCAATGGTGGCCACCTCACTTGGGGGTCCGGGCTCAGAAGGGGTCAGGATGAACTTGAGACCAGGCTGAAGCTTCCTCCCAAGGCCAGGGTTAGGCCTCTGCCTGGGGCCCATCCTGGAGGGTCCCCATGTCTCTGTGCAGCTCGGCTGTCACCTCCTCATCACTGCTCTCTTATTATGCTTTCCTCTCTAGAAAAACGCTGACTGCAAAAGTTTCAGTGAGTTGGTGGAGAATTTTAAGAAGACCTTGCGCCACACTGACCCCATGGTCTTGGATGATTTTGGCACTAGCCTACCCTTCATCGATATCTACTTTTCCACTCTGGACTACCAGGACATGACTATCCACAAGTCAGTTCCAACCCCAGCCTTTCCTGGTCCCTGGGGCTTCCTCGAGGCCGGGCTGTGTCAGGTGCCCTGGGAGAGTGAGGGGGATGATGGCTGATGTGCTGATAGGCAGTGGGTGGGTAGAACTTGGCTTTCTTGGGGTACAGGATTCCATGTGTACATTCCATGGGCTGCTGTGTGGACAGGCCATGGCTGGGGGAAAATCTGCTCCTCCTGCCCCTGCCCAACCCATCTTGACTTGTATGTAAATGCCAGCTCCTTAAAGTCTCCAGGCCTCTCCTCACTAACCCCTTTACAGAGCACAGAGGAAAGACCACTGAGTGACCTCAGCTTCTGCCCTGGTTTTGCCACTACCTCCCTGTGTGGCCTTGAGCACTCCTCTGCCCCTTTCTCATCTGTCACAGGAGGGGCTGCTGGGCTGATTCAATGAAAACCGTGTATGTGAAGCTCTGAGCTTGACCTGACCCAGGACTTGCGCTCAGTGCGGGTCAGCTGGGATTACGAGCAGCCGTTATTGAGCAGGAAGGATGTAAGAATCTGGCTGTGGGCGCCAGGGAGCCGCAGTGGGCTCTTCAGCGAGGACAGGTGTGATTAGTCCAGCTTTTCAATGAAAGCTGCCTGGAGGGCTTTAGAGCTAGGAGAAACAAAAAGGAAGGCGTTGGGGAATACCCACTTTTGACCCAACAGGGGGTCAGTCACTGTCTGGGCAACCCAAGACAGTTACTTCTCTCAGAGCCTAAGAATTTATTTCCAATGTGATATGGGAGGTAAAATCCCTTGCACCAGGGGGCCCCAGGCAGAGTGGCAGATCCAGGATTCCAACCCAGCCTGATCTGGCTGTGAGGTCCTTGCTCTTGTTTGACCGTACACCTGCACAGGTGCTAACGGGTGGTGAGTGAGGCCAGGGCGCTTGGAGCTGCCCCTGACCTCAGATCTTGTCTCCTCCTGCTCCATTTTTCAGGCTTCAAGAGCTGTACTATGAGATTGCGCATGTGCTGGGTCTGATGCTGGAAGACTTGCCCCAGAAGAAGCCCCAGTCCTTGGAAGAGGTGGATGAGAAGTAGCTAGGCATGGGGACACCCATGTGCCGAGGGCCTTGCAGACTGTGACAGGTCCCTATTAAACACAGGCTTTCTGAGTTGGCCTCTCCAGAGTGGCTGTGATTATGGCATTTCCCCACCTTTGAGAGTTAGGCCTGGATGGGTGCTCATGAGGTGTGCTTTCTCAGAGCCAGCCCCAGTCCCGCCCCACAGGACCTGAGGACCTCAGAAGTAGGGTGAGGGAGGCTCAAGACTTGTCCTGGCCAGAGGCCACATCCGGGGAACATGCTGGCTCTAGGTTCCCTGGACCTACCAGCAAGGAACTGGGGAAGCTGCCTGAGGACCATAGACCAAGAGGGCCTCCAGCTGTCCCCCGAAGCACATGGTCCCCTTGAGCTGGTGTGGCCCTGCTGATCTGGGTGTGGGCGTTCTCATACTGACAGAGTCGCATCTTTCTCTGTAGACCCACTGCTACAGAGACCCCTCTTTGGAAGGCTACTCTCATTTCCCTTAGGCTCACCCCAAGGGGTGCAGCTAAGACTGGCAGGATTCTGTTGTGTGGGCTTGGAGCTCAATCTGGGGGAGTAGCCTTCTGGCAATGCCAGGGCACTTTGCACAGAGCCCGGGAAGGTGTGGCAGCATCAGTACTTTGGGCTGCTGCCTTGTATGGCTAGGTGCCATTTTCTCTGTCATTCCTGGCCAAATGACTACTAGGGCCACCAAGGTCCTGGCACTTGTCTGGCTTAGCCATGATGGAGCCGTCTGAAGGCCCCAGCAGTGCAGGGCAGTGCAGCACAGGTGATACTCTTTGCTCCAGACTGGCCAGACCAGAGGCCTGGCAGTGCCCACCCTACACCATTGCTGGGGAGTATGCCTGAGACCTGTCACCTTGGCAGTGCCACCTCAGACAGAGGGGGAGGTATGTTCTGTGACTGGCACCTATAGCTGGGTGCAGAAAGGCCCCATACCCACACTGGGCATTCAGGTTAGCAGAAAATGCATGGGGTAGAGTGAAGAGCTATGTTGGGGGCTGGGGCTTCCATGACAAGAAACCCATGGTCTCACCCTGGCCCTCTTGGTGCTCATGGTTGTGTGGGGAAGACAGTCATCCCACCACTTTTCCTGAGGAAGTGACAATAATTGAATTCAGGGTCGGGGGTTGCATTGAGAGAATCAGGGCCACGTTGGGAATCATGAAAGCAGTGTGGAAGAAGGATGGCTCTTCAGGGTGAGACCTACTGAGGTGCTGTGGGGGAATCCTCTGAGGGCAGGAATTGCAGCCTGGCCACTTCCTGCACAGAGACAGCATTGTGTCCATGCCCTGAAGCTGGTCTGGGGTCCATAGGGTGTTTGTGCCCCTCCTGGCAGGGGGAGATGCTCTGGGTCTGACATGTGCAGGGATGACTCCAGGCTTCAGCTTCCACAGGTGCTCTTGTGGGTGCAGCCCCGTTAGCAGGGCAGACAGGCCCCAGCTGATGGCTCTCGTTCAGGACCAGGGCAAAGCAGACATTGCCAGCTGCTCACACAGGGTGTGCCAACATAGCCATGGGAACGCTAAAACATATCCAGCTACTCTCATCAGGAATCATGGGAATTGCCCTAGGCATCTGAGAGTGAACAAAAGATTTGAAAATTGGCCTCAGTGGGGCAAGGTAGAAAGTGCCATGGTTTTGGAGTTGGGAGACTTGGGTTCCCTAATAGGGAGACCTTGGGCAAAGTGTCTGGTCTTTCAAGCCTCACCTGTTTCCTATGAGAAATGCAATGATAAAACTGATTGGCTACAAGGATCAAATCTCCATAGGCATGTGAGAAAAGAGGCAGTCAGCTCATGGTTCACCCTTCCTCACTGTCAGCCCTGCACCTCTGCTGGGGGCACCTACAGTGGGCTGTGCTGGTCAGGGGTTGAGAGGGGTGAGGTCATCAGGGTGGTGGTGGGGAAAGTATGGAGCTGAGAGCAGGATGCAGAGGTCAGGAACCTGCACAGGAGTATGATGCGTCCTGAGATGGAGCTGCTTCAGAATGGGCAAAAGGCACATCAGATCAGGAAGGCCTGGGTCCCATGCCTAGGAAGGCAGCCTTTGGGCACAGCCACCAGAGTGTGGTGTGGGAGGGTGCATAAGTCCATTCTGTGTTGCTATGAAGGAATACTGGAGGCTGGGCAATTGAAAAGAAAAGAGGTTTATTTGGCTCATGGTTCTGCAGCCTGACCAGGAGGCATGGCACCAGCACCTTCTTCTGGTGAGGCCTCAGGAAGCTGCTACTCGTGGCAGAAGGCAAAGCGAAGCCATGTGTCATGTGGTGAGAGAAGGAGAAAGAGAGAAGGGAGGAGGGCTGCCAGACTCTTCTAAACAACCAGCTCCCGTGTGAACTAACAGAGTGAGCTCTCACTCGTCACGGAGCGGGGGCACCAAGCCATTCATGAGGGAGCTGCCCCCATGATCCAACACCTCCCACTAGTCTCCACCTCCAACATTGGGGATCCCATTTCAACATGAGATTTGGAGTGGTGGACACACATCCAAATTATATCAGGAGGCAAGCTGCCTTTAAGGGCACAAGAAGAAGGCTTTTAGAGAGCAGAGAGCTGGTGGGGGCAGAGGTGACGTGCACGGGGCCGGCCCAGTGCTGCTGGCAGAGCAACCTGATGGATATTTGGCACAGAGTCCCAAAGCAGCATTTCTGTTTGGCTCTATTCGCCTGCAAAGCAAACACTGGCAGATTGGAATTCCCACTTGGGCTCTCACCAACTCAAACAGGCTTGGCCAAGACCTTTAATTGATTTGCTTGGGGCAGAAGTGGCTCTGCTTACCCACACCTGGCTGTGTAAAGCAAGACCCTCCTCACTCTCCCTGGACCCTGGGATCTAGTAGGGTTGACCCTGAATGGCTCCTTCATCTCCAGACTGCTAGTCTGATAGTTTGGGGGCCATAGGGGGAATGCAGAAGACCTGGGGCCGAGTCTTCTCCTGGTCATGCCCAAGCCCTCCCCCAGTTCTTGTGGGAAGGATCTGGAATTCAAGGCTGGAGGTGTTGGGAAGGTGGCCGGATTTTCTTTCTTTAAAACTGCTTTCTGATTCCACCAGCAGGAAGCAGGCCCTGTATTGTGGATATCCAGGCAGTGACTGAGAATGTGAATGCTCCTGTCTATTCCAATAGGCCCTAGAAGTCTGATTCTGAGATGCTGGAGACTGTGCCCCTTGAGGCTTTCTTTGAATCTTTAGGACACCTCCTAGAACAAACTGGCCTTCAACAGGTCAGGTCTGGCTCTCTGGGCATCTCCACCTGTGTCAGGCTTTGTCCCTGGCCCCACATGGGTCTGCTATGTTGTCCTACAGGCCCTCAAGAGAGAAGATGGTTCTGAATTCCTGACTAGGCAACTCAGAAAGAAGAGGTGGTTGTTCTGATTGTAGTCACAGGGGTTGGAAAGACAGAAAGGAGATAAACGTGATGGTGAAATCTGTCAACACAGTGGGCATCCCCACTCTCCCCCATACTGTGCCACAAAGAATTTTGTCTGTGTTTGGTCAGCCACAGGCTGCACCTGCCCCAGGTTCTATGTTTGACTTTACTGTAGCTCTCTGTGATGTGGCATTAGGGAATGGTGGAGAGCCCAGCCTACAGAGCTGGAGTGGAGGGAAAGAGGAGTATTTTTGCTTTCTCAACCAGCTTCAGCATTCTCCTCCATGCTGGTTAATCAGGGTAATGGGCAAAACAGAGGGAAAGTTAAAACACCAGCAGGGCTGGACAGATACACAGCAGGGAGGCAGGACAAGGGAGGGACAAAGGAAGCAAAATCTGGGGGCGGGGAGCCTGGGAACTGTGGACAGCAGCTATGACACAGCTGGTGTGTGTGCCCTGGAGGGGACCAAGGAGAGGTTAACTGTCCTTGTGGGTCAACAACAGGATCCCTATGGGTGTTCTCTGAGAGAGGCAAATGATGATTGGAATTATCTTAAAATTATTTTTGGTTGCTATACCTTTAAAAAATGAAGCCCCATGGATAGATTAGACCATGTGGAGTCTGGGTTATATTCAGGTTATATAAAAGATCACCCTGCATAATAGAGACCTATTGGGTTAACAGTGGGAAATGCTAAGAGGGCTTTCCATGGACTGAGCCCTTAGCTGCGATCAGGGGCCTCCAGGTGAAACATACCAGAAGGTGGTGGCACCAGGTATGATTGTTTTCTTCCAAAATGAAACTAAAGTATCAGAAGGGAAGTGTGGAAGAAGCCATAAGGGGATGAAGAGCCTATTTCAAAACTCTTGGGAAACTGCAGAGTGACTGGGACCTGTGTGAACTGGTGATGGGACCGTGGTGGTGTCCTCACAGCAGCAGAACTTGGCATCTGGGGACCACTGCCCCTGACTTCCTCTCTCTCCAGTGCTACTTTGAGCCTGGGATCGGGGCCTGAGATAAAAAGAACTCTTTAAAACTTGAGACGGGAGCTGGGCGTGGTGGCTCACACCTGTAATCCCAGCTGCTCAGGAGGCTGAGCTGGATCGCTTGAGGCTAGGAGTTTGAGACCAGTCAGGGCAACATGGTGAGACCCCATCTCTGCAATGTAAGAAAGAGAAAAAAGAAAAAAAAAACTTGACGCTGGCCCAGAGAAGGAGGGAACCAAACAGAGGTCAGGCTACAGTTTCAGTGGCATAGCCTGTTCTGCTTACTGACTGTGGAAATACTGCCTTCTGTTTTGCCAGTATTTCTGTTTATAAGATCTTTTTACATATATGACTTCAATCACCTAACAACGGATATTCCCATTAAACAAGTGGCAAAACTAAGGTTCAAAGAGATGATAGAACCTATCCAAGTTTGTACGACCAAGGGGGAAGAGCCAGAATTCACAACCAAATGTGTCTGGCTCTTTAGCCACTCTGCCATAGTGTCACCCAATGATCTTCTGAGGAATCGTCCCGCTTTATAAGTGGAAAAGCCAGCGCTCAGAGACACACTGGGCCAAGGTCATCATTAAAGGGCAGAGTCAGTATTTGAACACAGGTGCCTCTGCTCTACTGCCTCATAGCGACCTTGTTCTTTCTTGTTGAAGCAGCTATTTTTTCAACTTTAGAAACCAAGCCATGATTCCCTTCCAAGAGGGGCCTG